AAATAAGAGGCAGCGGGAGTACCAGCAGGAGTACCGTGCTCGGCAAAATGCACAAACAACGGCACCTCCTAATGCACCAGATCAGCCAGGTGCTAAAGAATGCTCTTTGCAGGTCATCTGATTGCTATCTTTTTATTATTAATATTACTTACTGACCTTGTCTTATTACTTCAACAGCAGCGCAATATCCAACTTATGGGACAACGACATCAGCCGTTCTGCAACCAATTAATGAAGGATATTTTTCCGCCCCAAACATGAATTCTATTGACGTTAATATGACCCCATGTACGTCAATTCAAGGAGTGCAGGAATCACCATTTCAGACGGGGAATTCTGGAATTTTTACTGGCCCAACCTCGGTTCAGGACAAAGAAAATCAAACCCCATGCGATGCTTCGGAATGGTTGCGTCGAAATGATAACTACATCAGACCAAGGCAACAAGTATGTGGGGATATCGCAATGGAGCCGTCTGCTCCGATGGTTCAGGATCCAGGTGACACAATAACTGGAATTTTATAGTACCTACTAATGATGCTTTTTTCCATTTTTACAATTTATTTATATCTCACCATATCAACCAAATGATTAAACAGAATCCAGTTCAAGTGCCAATCAATTGCGGAGAAATAGAGAAAGGTACAACAATCTTGAAGAATCGATAAAACAAGAATTATTGGATAAAATGCGAGGCTATACAAGGGACAGGAGAAATATTGCACATCAGTCCGTTCAGCATACTCCAAGCAGCAATGCCCAGCTCATAGGTTGCTTGACTCATTTTTCTTCCAATCCATAGTTTCATATATGTAAATTTCTGATGTTAATTATATAACTTTAACCTATAATAACTACTATACAGATGGGACACCAGCTCTTCGCACGTTACATGCAAACATCGATTGGGTAGATGAATATGACACTACCTTGTTCCAACCGGCAAACAACGAGATACAAGAATCTGATGACGAAGGTGGTGGGTTGCTTTTTAATGACACAAACATGACTGTATAAGAGTTAGTTTTTAACATACCACGTGCTGCCCATGCAACAGATCCCCGGGAAGACATGGAACATCAGAGCGATGACGACGAAGCTAGGCAATTCCACAGGGAAGGTATTGCCTCACGTCGACCATAAATCATTGTGTTTTTAAATATATATATATATAATATTAATTTTACCACGTGCGTTCATAACCACTTCATAACTCTCATGCAGATGACCGATATGAGTCATACCGTATATATGCCAATGGTGTTGCTGGTACTGACGCTGATGATCCGTACGACTACGTCTACCATGATATACCAGACCAGCACCATGTTTTGAAAAAGGTGCCTAATTGCAGACACTGTGGGGCCATACGGTTTGAATATGAACCGCCAGGGTTTTGCTGCAGAAGTGGAAAGGTTAAAGTGCATATTCCTGAAGTGCCGGCTGATTTAAAAAGGTTATTTACTAGCCAGGTAGATGCTGATGCAAAGTATTTCAGAAAACACATATGTTACTTCAACTCTCATTTCTCTTTCATGACCCTTGGGGTTAGTGTGGATCGTCGTGTTGCCACCGCAGCAGGCACTGGTATCTATACATTCTGGGTGCAAGGTTCCTTGTACCACCGACTTGACCACTTGGTGCCAGGTTCCAAAGGGCCACGCCACATGCAACTGTATTTTTATGATACAGATGATACCTTAGCACATAGGACACAGAGATCTCCTGACCTGGATATCAACCTCATAAGAAATATTCTTAGGATATTAGCGAACAATCCTTATGTTCAAACATTCAAGAGGGTTGGGCCATACCAAATCTTGATGACTATGTAATTGAGCTAAACACCAATGTCACGACTGACCAAAGGAGGTACCTTCTCTACCACACTACATGAGTTTTTGTTGTAGTTACTACCTAAGCTTATATAATTTTGTAGATTATATGTTCACCCATGTTTCGCTATGTTTACAAAGGTACAATGCACCGACGACATCACAGGTTGCTGCTATCTGGACCGAAGGAAATGACCCACATAGATGCTTTGATAGAAGTGTGCTTGTGTATGCAACAGGAGATCGGGCACTGTATATTAAACCATACCAGGGTTCGTCGTCGACCAGCCCCCGCAACGAGTCTCTGGCTCTCCGAGTGCGAAGCCTTGATGGAGAATTACCAGGCTCAGCCCTACGGCCTGCGAAACACTACTTCCAACTATGCGTACAATATACAACGCTGCTCGGATCTGTGTTTTATACATCGACCTCGGCCCAAGCCACGCAACTTCATCAACATGGTTCGGATTGAGGAGTATCAAGAAGTAACGGTGCACTAAGACAAGCAACAGCCCTAACATCTATGACATATCACAAGAGTCGATCGGATCGATCTCGATCCGGCCCGGTGGCGTAGATGGTCCCGTTTTGACTCAAGCGTCTAGTTTTTTTTTGTCTCCACGCGGCATCCACATGGAGCTACGACACCAGATTTGCATGATGGCTTGCCATTACATGCACGATGAAGATGACGTCAAGCAGCCATGCAAGAAGACGGAGTACAAGCAAGTGGGCCAACTATGGGTGTTCGTGTTATGTATGTATTCATACACAATGTACAGCGACAACCTGGAAGGACTTCGTGTGCTTCTCCGACTCCAAATATGAAGACCACATACAATCTACTAAACCACCATCAGGCTACTCCGTAACCTTCATGCAAGCAAGGAAGATCTCCGACTACGCCCGACCTCGACTGGACATGCCCAAGGACTTTTGCCTCCCCATGCGATGGAACTAGGTACATGCCCTCCGACCACCGAACTGATTGAGCAGCCATGTCGACCACGGACCATGCCGACCACGTCCCGAGCAGCTCCACCAAGGTCCGACCACGTCGACCACGGACCACGTCGACCACGTCTAGAGCAGCTCCACCGAGCTCCGACCACGTCGACCACGGACCACGTCGACCACGTCTCGAGCGGCTCCACCGAGCTCCGACCACCTCGACTACCAGACCACGTCGCAATGATGATCGCCACGAAGAACGGCGCTATGACAACCGCGACCACCGTCACAACAGGCCGAAAAGCACGAGGACCGAACAAATTTATCTCCATCGACCAGATTTCTATCCAAAGATAAGTACACTTTTAATATTTATATTTAATATAAATTTCATTACGATGTTTCTCCACAACATTCTCGTCATGATTATTCTTCAAATAACGTTTGTCCATGTATACCATCTTAAATATAACATACAGCTATACTTAATGCAAATCCTCGACCAGTCATGTTGACGCTCGATGTCTCCAGAAATAGCCCTGTCTCCGGCTCCTCCCTACACGTGCACGAGCGTCCGCCCTCTGCGTTATGGGTGGTCGGCAGCAGCTCCTTAGCGACGCTTTGTTCTTCCTACACGTGCACGGGCTCCGCGCCCCACGTTATGGTTAACGGGCTAGCTAGGGCTGGAGACTCAGCTACACACTAACTGGTCGGGCAGTTTATATTAAGTATAAACACAAACTTCACATTAATATTGATGTTTACAAAGCACCAACTGTTTTATCACAACATGCTCATTTGCAAATGACTGCTGAGCGTCATACGCTATTTCTTCACCGCCGATTTTTTCTCCATAATTTATTATTTTGTACATCATGTACTACCATTCTACATATTTATATTACAGGAATTACAGATCTGGAAACCTAGAGGAGGCATATATACCTACATTCCACACTAATGCTAGAATGTTCAATCTCACCATGGCACTATCAAATTCTAGGTGGAGCGAAAATATTTATTACTGGGAGCGAAAATACCCTAAATATGTAACAAAGGTTTCGGGTCATAAATACTGGTAAGTGTCATAAAATTTGGTTCAACTTTTCTATAAAAAAACAGTAATTTGATTTATATACATCAAATAAACAACTGATCTTCTCCATCAGGAAATTGAGAGGCTTTCTTGTCTATAATTTCATGAAGTCGTGGGACGGCGTAAGATTGCCACGGATCATCACTGTAAGCATATATAGTCTCCAACTATATTCCGTACACTACATACAATACTAACATATTATATTCTATACCATGCGCAGCTATCATCTACACTGAGGAAGGAATTCTTGGCTGATATTTTGACGAGTCCTGCAAACGAATGTTTCAACATCCCTGAAGATGTGCAACAAATGATAAAGGACTTACGCCAAATGTAACTTAGGCTACAATATAATAATTGGGTAAAGGTTAAACTACAAAATAACAAATTGGATGTTTTTATGATCATTCTCTAGATAAAACCGTTGCGTTAGCACGGGCATTATACTAGTTTTTTTAATAAGTATTTTTTCGTCTCCTTGGACTACCGTTCAGAAATCCTCCCCTCAGCCTAGGTAGATGGAGATTTGATCTGGGAAGAAAGATAGATGGAGATTTGATCTGGGAGGGAAGATTTTAGATCTAATATAAGGGGAAAAGAATCAAATGATGGTTTCCCTTAAATCACTCTTGCCTAGACAAACTGTATTTTTTTACATATATGTCGGTCGGTCTTTTTAGATGAAGAAAGCTTTAACTTGAGATGAATTCTCATATGATAAATTTTCTTGATGATGATTTGCGGTTGTGGTTAAATTCAATATTCCACCTTCTAGATAGTGACATCATACTTATTCTCGTATGCAAGTGCTCCTTACATTTGAATTATAAGGATTTTCTTGATTCTCGCGGTAGGGAGACCGCACATCTGATTTTAAGTGAAAACAAACACCCCCTCATACATAAGTTATGTGTGTTCCCATGGTTCATGGTTGCGGTGTTTTCGATAAGGGTCAAGGGATACTTGAGACCAGGGGAAAGGCCACTCGACTCCACGACTTCAAACGACTCGAGGTTCGTCAAAATGATACAACAAATTTGCTAGTGCAAGCTCCGCGAGGTGCGTCCCGAAGCCAATGCCAGGGCATCCTCTCCTCCCAGCACCGAATAGTATGAATCAGAAGTCTTTACCACTGTAATCAAAGTTTGTACTATGCACAAACCTCTCTGGCATGAATGCATCTGCATCCTCCCATGACTCTTCGTCTCTGCCAATCGCCCACGCGTTGATGAGAACCCGGGTCTTGGCTGGGATATCATAGCCATGCAGCTTGGTGTTGTGGACCGCCTCGTGGGGGACAAGCATTGGCACTAGTGCATGCAATCGTAGAGCTTCTTTGATGGCAGCCTGTGGTCGTGTCATTGTACTCAATAGCTCCTCTGTGACTCGTCTATGTTCCCCTGCAACTTGTCGCACCTCGGCTTGTGTTTTCTCCATTTCCTTTGGGTTCTTCACTAGCTCGGCCATTGTGCACTCCATAGTTTTGGCAATTGTATCAGTGCCTACTATAAAGAGGTCCTGCATAAGAAATTCGCATCAATGTGTTAGCGACGAATACTAGCGTGCTTACTACTCAATGTGTCGTTAATTCAGTGAAGTTTATTGGAAGTCAGGGATCCACAATTTTAGTCGTGTTGACATTATGAAGGTTAAATACATGTAATTTTCAAGTTTTAATATCCACAATGGTGAATAAATTAGACTCTACCCTCTCCGTCGCAAGATAAATCAACTCCAAGAATCATCCTAAGTCAAACTATATTGAGCCTGACCAACTTAATAGTAAAAAATGACAACTCCTAGAATCACCATGTAGTATGACATACTCCCTCTGTCCTAGTTTAAATGCACGTCTAGGTTTTAAACAGCAAACTTAGTATCCATGTAAAATGACTGTCGGTGTTTCGAGTTACCACCGACTAGTAAATTTCTAATATTGCGTGTCTGGCTCAGATGGTGTGCTAAGAGGACACGATGTTTATACTGGTTCGGACAGAATGTCCCTACGTCCAGTTCGTTGCTGCTGCTCGTGTTACTAGCACTAAAAGTTCGTAGTAGAGGTTACAAACGGTCGAGAGAGGGACAGGTCTCAAGTCTCTGGTGAGAGGAGTGAACGGGTGACGAGAGCTCGGTCGCTTCCTGGCTATGTGCTTGTGTGTTCTGGTCGGTTCGGGGTTCGATGGATTTGAGTCCCAATTGATGCGATGTGTTGCGATGCCCTTTATGGGACGTCCTGCTTTCCCTTTTATAGGCCAAGGGAAAGCACGGGTTACAGTGGAGGGAAAAGAGGAGGATGAGGAGGTGGAGAAGTCCTCCAGGACTGTCGGGTCCTTTTTTTCCTTCACGTGGGTCCCACCGACCCTGTAGATGTCAACAGGGACAACGTCATTGGCGCCATACGCAGGCGTCGTCTCCCGGTCGTGGCGCTCCACTTCGTCCTAGCGTACGTCGTGGTGAACTGATGCGCCTGTCAGTGCTCGTACGAGGGTTAGGTAGAACAGCACTGGTACGCTCGACGTTGTTCCTAATGTGAATCCCTAGGTATGGCCCGTCATGGCCACGGGTTATATCAGGGCGTGCTGGTCACCTCCCTGGTGTCAGAGCTTTGACCTGGAGTGGTTGGTGGTGGTATGGGTCTTCGTCGGGTGAGACGGATCCCCTGGCCTCGGGGTCGGTCGAGGTGGAGTCCCCCCCCAGAGGTCGGGCGAGGCGGAGCCAGCCCTCAGAGGTTGGGCGAGGCAGAGCCTGCGGCCTCGATGTCGGGCGAGGCGGAACCAGCCCTTAGAGGTCGGGCGAGGTGGAGCCCACAGCCTCGGTGTCAGGCGAGGCGGAGCCCGTCCTTAGAGGTCAGGTGAGGCGGAGCTAGCCCTCAGAGGTCAGGCAAGGCAGAGCCCGTGGCCTCGGTGTCGGGCAAGGCGGAGCCTACCCTTAGAGGTCAGGTGAGTCGGAGCGCAAACCCAAGGGTCAAGCAAGGCGGAGCCTGCCCTAGAGGCCAGGCCAGGCCAGGCGGAGCCAGCCCTCAGAGGTTGGGCGAGGTGGAGCCCGCGGCCTCGGGCGAGGCGGAGCGCAAACCCAAGGGTCGGGCGAGGCGGAGCCCGCCCCCAGAGGCCGTGTATGGCGGAGCCAACCCTCAGAGGTCGGGCGAGGTAGAGCCCACGGCCTTGGTGTTGAGTGAGGCGAAGCCCACGGCCTCGGTGTCGGGCGAGACAGAGCCTACCCCTAGAGGTTGAGAGAGGCGGAGCTTGCGCACGTGGGGGTCAGTTGGAGCTGTAGTCATGCTCTTGACTGCTCAGATAAATCAAAGTTGATGGTTATTAGCTCCTCTTCTTTGGGTATCCTAGTATTGGTCCCCGATAGTAGCCCCCTACGAAGGAGTAGAATACTCATTCGGAGGCTTCTTCGAATGGGAGGACTTTGAAGGCCTTGGCCTTCTTTTGTTGCCCACAGCGTGACCTAGGGGTGGTGATTCCCTTTCCTCGAGCCCCCTCCCATAGCAGGGGCCCGGTCGAGGATCATTTCATCTTTGCGATTGTCTTCCCTCAAGCGTTTTTTCCGATAAAAATGAAGGGGCCGAGCCATGCCACGATTTTCCTTTAAGGATGAATTATGGCACCCGGTGAGCCGTTAATGGGCTAGTCTGAGTGGGGCCCCCGGCATCCTGTTCATGGGGATCCAGCTTGGGTCAGCTTGGTGACTGACCCTAGATTCTCAGTGGTCAATCCATATAGTTCCTGGGTCCGTTCGACCGGTCCCAAGGGCTAAGTACCTTTCTTCGAAAAAACCATGGATCATAACCGGATGAGACTCGAGCGTGGGCCAGGATGCCCGCGTCGCTCGTGCGCCCAGGTACTGACCGCTAGCAGGCCCATCCCTTTCCACCTCTCACCCTAAAGGCGCCTAGAGCGGTTGTCGGGCCCGTTGATGGGCCGACCTATGAACTCCTAGGCCCAATCGGGCCATAGAGGCGCTTTTAGATCTGTATTCCTCTTACTCATGATGAGTCATGGCCCATCCATAGAGGCGAAATGTCCGGCGAGTTTTCTGAGGGAACAAACATAGATTGCGTGCGCACGTCCCGCGGTGGGACGTTGTGGCAAATCGTGGTAGGTGCGAAGATCTAGGCAGGAGGTTGGTTTCCTCGTATCCATCGTCCCTATAAAACCAAAGGGTTTGCCCCCCCGGATTCCATACCTTGCATCCTTGCCTCTACATCCACGACCATCGCCGCCAATCGCTCAGGTTTCCTATCTTTGCATCCCCGCCGCCGTCGAGCTCGCATCCACCCATCCCCATCTCCAATGGATCCATGGTGCCGCTCTGATATCACCTTCCAATGCATGGAGGGCCTCATCCGTCGTGGTCTTCTCCGCATGCGGACCACGACCGAGGAGCGGCTGCTGCCCGACGAGGAGGACGTGCCGTCGCCGCCCGACGGCTACATGGTGTCGTTCACCCGCTTTCACAAGCGTGGGTTTGTGACCCCTGCCCACAGATTTCTTCGGGGGCTGCCGCACTACTACAAGATAGAAGTGTAGCATCTCAATCCCAATGGGATCCAGCACATGGCGGTGTTCGTCGCCCTATGCGAGGGGTTCCTGGGGATCAGCCCCCACTTCAATTTGTGGAAGTACTTCTTCGCTGTCACCCTCCAGAAGAAGAGGGAGAAGAGCGGCAGGCAGGAGCTGCACATGCCGATGGGGTGCGCCAGCATCCAGCTCTGGAACAATTGGGTCGGTGAGTACCCATCGATGTGGCTATCAACGTCTAACAAGGGGTGGCACTCGTAGTGGTTCTACGTCAAGAACAACGTCGCCGCCCCTCTGCCAGAGTTCACCGGGTGCCTGATCGAAGAGGCCCCGGAGTCGTGGAGGAAGTGGGGCATCCTGAAGAAGGACAAGAAGAAGATCCGAGACCACATCGCCGCCATCCACATCCTCAAGGAGAACGGTTTGAAGGGTCAGGCGTCATTGGGGCCTACCACACAAGGAGGGTGGCGCCGTTGATGATGCGCACGCTCCCGCTGTACGTGATGGCGCCCGAGGCATCGTTTGATGGAATGGTGCTCGCCGAGGGGGTGCTCCCCAACTCCAAGATCGCACAATGCATCAAGGAGGCAATGGAGCTCTCACAGGTTGACGTAGGTGCCCCCCTCGATTTTATCTACCCGGTGCCGGGACATCCTCCGATGCGGCTGGAACCAGGCCACATCGTCTTCGTAAGTTTACCTTTCTCATGCCTTCTCTTCAATAGATTTCCTGACCTCTTGATACTAACTTTGAGAGGGGCGGGATTAGCCGAGGCACCTCATCTTTATAGATCACCTGGCACCGTTGCCGAGCGATTTGTCCATGAGGGTGGCGAATCACGCCGAGGGCGAGTGGCTGAGGAAGGCGAAGGAGGACAAGAAGAGGAAGAGGAAGAGGTAGCGGAAGCTACAGGTGCGGGAATGGGGGGAGGACATCGATAGCGATGACGATGATGACGATGGTGAGGACAATGAGGTAGCCGACGATGTCGAGTGGGACATCCTACAGAACAAGGATGCGCTGACAGGTATTAGTTCGTCCTTGTAGGATTCCGGACCCTTCCCATTCCACGGAGGGGAGGGTACATCCGGGGGAGTCGGCGGAAGTAGGACGTACCGTCGGCGTCCCTCAGGAGTCAATGGGGGTGGGCGGCTCTGCTGCCGTGCCTAAGATGTTGGTGGAGATGGGCGGCTCCACCGTCGTGCCCCAAGAGTCAAGGGGAGCGAGCCCCTCTGCCCAGGAGCTAGGGACGGCTTGAAATGGCCTTGCCCCGACGAGGCGGAGCAGAGGTCGGGGGTTCGCCCCCCAAACTTATCTACCACCCGATGGCGTGGAGGTGAGTTATCAGCTCCTCTGTTTTTCCCTGTTTTGGTCGGATTTCATTGTGACTTATGTTTTTGGTCCCTTGTAGCGTCGGTAGGCAGCGGAATCCTTTAGCGCTGGCGCCAAAGAAAAACATCACCCTTCAGGCGAGACGGCAGCCGTCGGCTGGTGCCGTGCCCTTTTCAGGTGGGAGCGGCACTAGTGCGACTGCGTCTTTGGCCAGAAAAGCGCTGCCCACGGTGGCGCCTGTGCCCTCAGAGGGACGGGCGGACGCGGGGGCTCAAGGGGCCCCTTCGGAGGTCACAGAGTAGTCGGCGATGGTGGCAATACCGCTGCTGTTGATGGGGCAGATGGGGCTATTGACCGCGCTCGTGGCGCCGACCATGGTGGTCGCGACGCAGCCGGTCGGGGCCCTACCGACGCAGGTGGAGGTGGCGGCGGCTGTGATAGGCGGGCCACAATCGGACGCAACCGTGGCGGCGCCTGAGGCACCGGCATGACCCGCGCCATCGGTAGCCCAAGCGATGGCGCCTGGCGTGGGCCAGATGGAGGGGGACACGGCCGAGGGGTCCCCGGATGTCGTGGTGCTGGGAGAGGGGTCGGTGTCCATACCGTTGA